TTCCCTTCATTTTTTTCTTTTTTCTTTTATTTATTTCTTCGTTGAACGCACCCCCTCTGACCTGGCCTCGGCCAATTTTCCTTTTCCCCTTTCTTTTTGCAACATTCCAAACATAAGCGTCAAATATTTGTAGTGCGTCAAATATAACGCACTAACCACCTGCGATACCTCACCTCCTATGTCTTAAGTTTTTTTTCATCTTTTGTAGTGCGTCAAATATAACGCTAAAAATAAAGACTGTTTTTCCTTTTCTGTCGGGCTATTTTGACCGGTTTTTCTTCTGTTTTTAGTTGTTTTTTTTTACTTTCCTTCTTTTTTCCATGTTTCTTTTTGACATGCATATTATGCTCTTTGTCGAGCAACATAGAGAACACAAAAGCACACGCCAACAATAGTGATTTCAGTAATAGGCTGCTTCCTATTGCTTATACACAACTTCTTTTTGTCGGCCTTTACAGAAGGTAGAGCTTGGTATCTGGTGGAAGTCTCTTAGAGAGAGGATCCCTGACAATATCAAGGGCGGAGTTGCGGAGCGCCGGGAGAATCTCATATGTATCCAACAGATCATACTGTCTTTGGATTGTATCTACGGCGAGAGTCTCTATCGCAGGGGCGTTTTCCACGACATGAAACAGGAGTTGAAGCTGGCCTTTGGTGGCTTTGAATCCGGTGACATGCATCTTCTTCAGGTGTAGGTATTTGTGTTCGGATTGTGGAATGTCTTGTCTCGAAGGCCCCTTGTTTGCAAACCACATCGTGCAAGTGCCATCAAACTGTAAAAGTAGAACATACTGTTACGTACAGGCACATCGACACACCCGAGTGAAGCAACCCTAAGCATCCTGATAAAAGGTCATTGAAGCAGAATCCTTAACAAATGCAGTTCCTTTGTTACCTACAAAGGTGATCCGACAAGAAAATACTCACATGTACTTCCAAGTGTTCAATAAACGGAGCAGCCCTCAAAAGGGGAACCAAGTAGAGAATCTTGTCATCATGTTTATGATCTACAGCCAATATTATCTGCAGATGCTTGAGCTGCGGGAACATGTAATGGCTATCTGATGTCCATGTAGTCTGAAAGACAAAGAGCAAGTTGAGCTCAGCGAAAAGATAAAACCATATTGCACAACCTAGAAGCTTGTTCTAACAACATACATACCTCTAGCACTTCAACTGAAATTTTCAAAGTGAGGTTCGGAACATGTGGAAGCCCATTGAGAACCACAGCTGAACCACGCCGAAAGGTAGAAGCACAGAAACAAATTTCTGCATTTTCCATCTCGGGAGCTTGATGGAGGGCAATAGGTATGCAGTCCCCTTTATACACAAAGGTGGAGAGCTTGGCAGCATGGAACTCTATCTTGGTGAACCCGCAGAATTTGACTCTTAGGTACTGCAGGTTGGACAATGGTCGCTGGACCACCTTCAGTTCATCGTCCAGATCACACCTGACTATGCTCAGCCACTCAAGATTACAGCAGTTGCACAAGATATTCTCGAGATCATGTCCGGTGGTGTTGAGTAAATGGAGATCAAGCTTTCTTAGGTTTGGGAAACCTGGAAACTGGGAAGGGGGTGGTTTGAAACATACAAATCTGAGTTGAAGACAACGTAGACAGGATACACTATCCATGTCTAAAAGTTCAAACGGGAACCTGTAGTGATTCCTATATTTCCAAAATTCCGGCAGTGGTGCCAAATCAAATGATAGATTCTTAGTCCGGGAGGACATAGCAAACCTTATCCAACTGTTGAGATGGTAAACTAGCTTGCTCTCAAATACAAATTTTATCTCAAGATTGTCGACAACCTTGCCGTGGTGCTTTTTCAGGACTGCATTAACATGGTCTATGAACATCTGGGCATATTGTTTCCCTCCATGCCTAGGCACATGATCCTTGGCATTGAAACTCAGTTTGGGAAACTACACTCTTTCCCGACCCCGGGCCGCTCGAGCTGCCCGGGCGTAGCCCTAGACCCTCGCCGCCGCCACCCCTCACCTCGCCTCTCCCCTCCCCCGCCGCCGCCAGGGGCCGCCGCCGGGCGAAGCCCGTGCGGCGGTGGCGGTGGGTTTCTTCCCTCCCCGCGAAACATCCGGTCGGCGCGGGACGGCTGGCCTCGCGGTGGCTTGTCGGGCCGGCGGCGGCCTGGGGGTGGCTCCGAGGGGCGGCGCCGGTGCTCTGCTCCTCCGGGCGGTGCGCGGCGACCTTGGTGCGTGGCTAGGCCGGGTGCGGGCCGGCGCGCGGATCTGGCGCGGCTGCGGGCGGGCTCGCGATGGCCGAGTCGTGCTGCGGAGGTGGGGGACGCCGGGGCGGCGGCCTCGGTCCGGGCTCCCGGTGGCCTGGGCGTGGACGGCGTACGGGCGCGCGGCGGCTCCTGGCTCCGGATGTGCGCGTGGGGCGCGGATCGACAGCCGGGCACGGCGGCGGCAGGCGTATGTCGGGCTCGGGAACCAGCCGGGCGTGGCGGGTGCGGCTCCGGAGCGCATGGTGTGCTGCGGGCGGTGGACCTGCTCGTCTGCTCTGCTGCTTCGCTCGCGGCTCCGATCTGGATCTGGCGTGAGCTGTTTCTTCGGTCTGGTGATGCTCTTCGCGATGTGGTGTTGGTTGTTGCGGTGGTGCTGCGGTGGTGGACGGCGGCTTCGGCCAGGGGGTGGTGCGGTTCTGGTCGCGGTGGATCGTGGGATCCCGTGGCCGGAGTGAGGTCGGCCTCGGCAGGGGCAGGGGTGGTGGTTTGTTGGCGGCGGTCGGTGGTGGTGGGCGGTCGGCACATCTCCGGGAGAAATCCTTGCTCCGGTCTCCACCGGAGCCGACGGCGGCGGCGCCCGCGGGTGCCGTGATCTTTCTTGGAAGCGTCGTCGTGGAGGTGCGCTCCTCCTCCCCACGGCTTTGGCTCCGAAGGGAAACCTCAGATCCTCTGGATCGGGCGATGGAGGCGTCTTCGCGTCTTTCTCCTCCTTGGGGGCATCGTCTCGGAGCAGGCAACGACTGGGAGACCGATGGATGGCGGCATCTTCGCCGTGTGGGTTGCGGCATCTTCGCCGCGTGGTTTGTGGCATCTTCGCCGCGTAGTTTGCCGAGGCGGCCTTTTGGGGGGCGCTGATTTCCGTTTGGCAACGATGATGGCGTCGAGAGGAACTCTGGTCGCGGCTCGGGCTTCGGTAGTCGGATCTTCCTGGCGTGTCCGAGGTGCTCTTTGGGGCACGGTCGGCGCAAGTCCTGCATATTTCCCTTGTGATGATCGTCGTCAGAGTCGGAGCTGTCGGCTGTTCGCGCGTGTGGCCTTCTGTTGGCATGTGCCGTCATGGTTTCTGTGCAGCTGTTTGCGGGTTGGCTTCGACGATGAAGGTCTACGGTGAAGTCGGAGTCGCCCGTTCGGAGGTAGCCGGTGATGACGATGACGCTTGCGACTGCTCGGCGGATATCTTTCCCTCTTTGTAGCTCTGTGATCCCATGTCGGTGACCAGGTTGACCGGTGGTACCCATTTTATGTGGGTTGGATTGTATCGGTTTTAGCCCGGTTTTCCGTCAATTAACCGGGCAATTCTCACTCCTCCTTAATTAATGAAAATGGCAAGTCTTTTGCCTTGTTTCAAAAAAAAACTCAGTTTGGGGCAAGTTGTCCATATAGATCTCCACTCGCTGGACAAAACACTAGACCGTACAGCCTCTTTTGCAGGTAAATTTGATAAAATTGTGCACATCACATCCTTGGACGAAAAAAGGAAGGAAGGAAACCTATTAGTTTAGGAATCTATTTACCCTGAAAGTCAACTGAACATTTTCTTGGCAATTTGAACATACCTCTGGAAGATCTTTAAGTCGAACATTGGGCCTCCCCTTGTCATTTGTTGATCTTGTTGTTGGTTTAATATGGACATGCTTCTTTGCAATTGTTGCCCTCGTTCGATGATTGCCCATTCTAACGCTGAAAAGAACAAGGTGATGTTTGAGGAAAAAATAGGTGGATGGTGACCATAAGTTTAGATAGTGAGCAACACAGAAAAAAACCAAAAAATGCATCAGTTTGGTTGGGACAAGACAAGTGACAAAAACATAAGCAATAACACCACCTCCACTCAACCGAAACTTAATATGGACATCATCCATGTTGCATAATGCATATTCCAAGTTTTCATAAACGTATTAAACATGCAGCGCTAAGGTTATGGCAGTGTGCTTGTAGATCGTAGATCACAGCAGGACGAGAAGAACTTCCTATAAAAATGGTAGAGAAGGAAACCTATCACCGAAGAGGAAGAGGCCGCCTGGAGGAAGACCGGGCGTGCAGCTCACTCCCCTACGGCCCCTACTGTGCGAGGAGGAAGACCGGGTGTCTTGAAGTGGTTCAGCGCGCGTGAGATGACCGGCCGCGGCAAGGCAGGCGAGGAGATGACCGACCGGCGAAGGCCCAAACCCTAGAAATTGGAGCAGAGCAGGGTGCAGACTTCCGTTGGCGACTCGACTCGATTGGTCGGGAACTTTCCCACTCTTCTCCGGCGAACGTGGACCGGGCCGAAAGGTCAAATCAAGTTGCGTGCCTGCGGGACCGACCGACCCCATGTTTTAAACTCGCCCTCTCCCGTGTTGCTCGCAAACAATCCCCCGTTCGTTCTAGGGTTTTAGCCTGCGCCGGCCGCCGGCTGCTCCATGCGTGCTCGAGGTACCGTTGCCCCTTTCGTATCTGCCTACTATGTGATTGATCGCTTATATCTCTTCCTTCTATCTTTCCGTATTCATCTACTCCCTCCTATCCATATTACTTGTTGCTGACTTAGTACAACAAGTAATACGAATCGGAGGGAGCAGTGATATTACTTTAGTTCACATGATTATTTCATAACTATTTCCTTTCAGCAATGGCAACGCAAGCAGGTCCTCGTCTTTCTCCTAAAGCGGTAGACTTCTCTCTCCATTAACAAAGCTAGTTACATGCACCGCGTTAGCTTCGATTGCCTTCTTTTTTTCTTGCATAGATTTGCGCCGTATTTGTTGACCAATACTATCATGTTCTACACGAGACACCAGACCAGGCGTACAAATTTTATCTAGACAGGAACACAATTGGCCGCCCACGTCCTGATGGAGTCGTGGAATACGTAACAACACTGCCGGTAAGTTCCTCTATGAAAATCAGTTTTATTGCTACAAACTGGAGTATCAATCTTTCTACCAAAATGTTTGGAGAAGAAACTTTATATGGAAAATCTTATTACACGTAAAACTTCTAGTACATATATAATTTGTACGGTACCTACTAGTAGTTAATTTACACTGGTAACTAGTCCCTTGATTTTAGCTAACAGACATCAATTTGGACTACTGCGTAAACTCAAACTCTTTGTAGATTTTGTACATACAAGTAGCATTGCTCACCTTTAATACTTTGATTAATTCTACCCCTTGTGTGTTTGAACAACAGGAGATCAACAAATCATTAATATCTATGGACTTCAACAAATACTTGACGAAGATAGACACTGCAGATGCAGTCTCATCTCACAATGGTGGTACCCTCATTGTTGTTACTGGATCGTTAACCACGGCTGATGGCTTTTGCACAAACTTTACGCAGTCGTTCTTCCTTGCACCACAAGAAGGTGGCGGCTGTTTTGTTCTCAATGACATATTTAGAATTATGCCTAAAACATCACGACTCATGATAAGTCAATCCGATAGTCAAGAAAATGACATCAAAGGGAATGTCGGATTTATAGTTGAATCAAGAGAGGCAGAGTGCGTGAAGACTGGCCATGTAGCAGTGGAGAATAAGGCTGGAGTCTTGCAAGTTCCAAATCCCTCAGCTAATGGCACAACATATGAAAATTATGATGACACCGAGCCACTTGTGCAAGTGACCAAAGAGGATCTAGAAGGAACTCATGATGCTTTTCATCCTCCACCTCAAACCTCATAAGGATGCTACTAGCAGCTCTTACGCATAAATCGTGACTTCTCTATTTTCCCATCGACTTAAAGCGACGGGTTAAGATCGATCGAGGGGCTTTGAGAACCAGGAAAAGCTCTAACTTCTAGAAAGATGGCATCGCTTTTGACCAAGGAGGAATTGCCCAACTTAAGGCAGCTCACTTTGATTAGTAGTATGTGCTACTATCATAGCACATGATATATTATTGTAGTTACTACATTCACATTGCATATTATCATACACTAGTGTTTTCACTTTATTTATTTATTTATGGAATCCCAATACAAATTGTGGATATGATCTATTTCTTATTAGTTTATTTGTTTGATGTGCTATGATAATGTATCATAATCTCAAATATGGTAAAGTTATGATCCCGGGAGATACGCATGGGGCCTATGGACAAACATCCCCATTGATTTTAATTTAGCCACCCCATGACTTAAACCTACCCTCCCACCCCCAACCCCCGCGGCCATTTCAGGTAACTATCCCCGGATTTCCATGTCTTCCGTAAGATAATTTCGGTAATAAAATTCCTTATCATAATATAACACAACGTCATGGATGCTCTAGCCGCACTACCACCCTGTCCTTCTCTGGTACAACCTCCAACTATTTACATCTACATGCGTCCTTCGATTCCTCCCATGGCAGCCACGCCACCGCTACAACCAAGTCCTCGTTCCTCTTCCACTGCCACATTTTCTCACCAGCAGAGCCCGCATAGCTACCTCGCTTTCTAGTCGCACAACCAACACTACTCTAGGATTGCTTTCCATGCCATAGATGTGTCTGGGTCGACCCCTCTGTGGCTTGCATCGCCCAAGAAAGGGGAAGCAGTTGAGTACCATGGGTGCTGCTGGTGGGGCACTAGCGTTGTGTGATAGTATGGGATGGAGAGGAGATGCTACTTCTCTGGTATAAGGTAATAAGGACCAGGTCGTCACCATCGACAATTGCTTCTTGGGAGAGGACACATACACAAAGGTTCTGCTCAATGTATGGCTCTTACAATGATAGCAATGCTCTCTGTTTTTAGTTTTGAGTGGTGATATTTACCCGGGGGTCAGTGGCGGAGCGTGGCACGAAAGTAAAGTAGTGGCCAAATTCTAAGCCCAAAATGCTAGCATAGGCCAAATAAGCCCAAAGACATGAGAGTTGACTGCATCAGGAGAGAATAGTTCAGGAGAAGGGTTTGAGAAACAGAAGAATGAAACAGCAATGGGGAAAATAATAATTCTTATGCCTGGACGGCCTGTCGGAGAAGCTCCAGCTAATGCCGCGACAAGGTACGAATCTGCAAAACCAGTTCTCCAGATGGTAAAGCTCCAGCTATTGTCATGTTGGCTTTTGTTAAGCTTATTTAAGCCTGGTTGACCCCAGTTTCTGCTATTTCCATTTATTCATTTCTATAAGTATTATCGAGCACCCAACAATAACCATTGTTGACACTATCTAGATCGCAACATCGATCAACATATGCATGGACATTAACTAGTCGAGCTCATATTATTCAGTAACAGGGCATGCATAGCATCAAGATGGACGGAAAGAACTACAAAAAGTGGTAGTATGGAGTATGCAACCTAATCTCTCAGGCTGTTGAAGTACCACCAAGCTAATTAATCGACCCTGATAATCAATGTCTGTTCTGCTGGATAGGCCGGAAGATGCTGATGTCTCTGCTGTTCACCTCCTGACGCGGCCTCGCGTTCTTCTCCATGTCCTGCACGGTGGAAGGATTACTTCAAATGTTAATTCATGGTTGACATCAACCGAGTCAAAGGCAGTTCTCACGTCTCTTTGGGATGTTTTAGCCATGTTTTGGTCAACCCAATTAAAGACACGAGAGTTGAAGTGCACCAAGAGAGAATGGTTCATGACAAGGGTTCGAGAAACGGTAGAATGAAACTGCATTGGAGGAGAAACAAATTCTTACATCGTGGACGGCCTCTCGGAGAAGTTCCAGCTGGTGCCGCGACACAGTACGAACCTGCAAAACCAGAGAGAAGTTTCATAACACACCAAACATGTAATGTAAAGTACTTGTGCAAGCATCCAGCTACCGTTTCAATGATGTAATCAGACTCTTTCTGATCGCCGAAAGTGAAGAAAAATATTGTTGTTATTTCTGAATCTGAATAATAACGCAATACTCCCTCCACTCCGAGTTACTTGTCGCATAAATGGATAGAAATGGATGTATCAAGAACTAAAATACGTCTAGATACATCCATCTCTGCAACAACTAATTCCGGGCGAAGGGAATATATAAATGATGTGAACGGAATGGAACTGGCGTGATGTGCCCTTCCAACCGCCAAGTTGGTTGTACTCCCTCCGTCCCAAAATTCTTATCTTAGATTTGTCTAAATACGGGATGGGAGTATGTGACTGCGTGAACTGAATTTTACAAAAGCCTACCCGTTTGACGATGGTCCAGATGACCCCTTGGGCGCATGGCGGGGTGGTGAGGGAGCCCACGTAGCGGTAGTACACGCTGGCCCTGCCCCTCGCGCCCCGGGCGTCCACCACGCCCACCTTCTCCTCCCTCTGCCTCTGCTGGGCGATCATCTCCAGGTATGGCTCCAGCTGATCATCCAGGAGGATTAGATCTTGAATTATATTGCATCATATTTCCTCTTTTTCAAAATAAATGTCTTGACTCTAGTATAATTTTATAATAAAGTTAATGCAAAATTGAGACACTAGTTTTAGGACGGAGTGAGTATCTTGCAACTTTGTAACAAGAGACTCAGTTTATTAAGAAAA